TCCAATTTCTGGTGAAGAACTTACGATGTGTTAAGTTGTTGGGATATTAGGATTTTGATGAAAGTGAACAGACTGTTTGAAGAATGCAAGCCAGTGATGACTAATAGCAATACACTGTGTCTTATGCATTAAGAGATGCTCATAAAAACTGAGAAGCAGAATATTATTTTTCAAAAAACCAGCATAAATTATTTTTAAATGTTGTTTTTCAAAAACTGAAGTTATATTCAATTGTTGCCTCCCTTATGTTATTTTCAGTATTTTTGACTGATCAGATTTAAAGGAGGGAGTTATGTGATAGATGTAAGAAATGGGTACATGTTAGCAGTAGTAGACTGAATAATAAAACTAAAATGATCATATTGGACATGTCAAAATTAAAAGAATTTTGAGCGGAATTTTTTTTTCAGGTTTGTCCAAGCAACACACAGCAGCTTGGACCAATTAAATTGATTGCCTTGGATAATTCTAAAGGTTAAATTACTATTTTAAGAGAAGTTGATTGATTTACAGTAAAAGAATCCATTAAACATTATTAATAAGACTATATTCCTGGTTTCACCAGAGATTCTAATTATCCCAACCTACTGACCAGCCAAATGCATCCACTTTTCTTGCCTCTTCATCAGCTAAAAAGACGTTTCAAATACATAAGAAGTTAAACCTTGACACCTTTAAAATAAGTATCATCCTTTGTTATAATTTTCTGCATCAGTTTAAAAGCCGAACTTAAAACTTTCTGAAAACCATGAAGGAGGCAAAGGATGGAAAGCGTGTAAGAATGTAAGAATGTAATCTGATGATTGAATATTTGTTTCATTATCTCTCCAGTGTGGAATAAGAGTTCCTAGGTCCATAAAACATTAATGACAAGATCCTTGAGCACTAGATAATGTGACTATAGGAATTTTGTGAAAAATAGAAAGTTAATTCTTATTAGATTCCTGAAGGGATTCAGACAGGAAAACTATTTTAGTATAGGTTTGTATGGAAAAAATAGTTAATGAGCTAGAGGAAACAAAGACTCAGAAAAAGGGGAAATTTATCATGAGGAATGGCTTAGTCAGAGTGAAATACTTTTGCAGTGAAAAGTAAAGAGTTGAGAGGGGATTTATTTTGGGTTCTGTGGCAATCTTGTCTTGTTGGATGAACAGCAATATCCACCTCTATACAATGCATAAGGAAACAAATATATAGTTTAAAAGTGGGAGTTTTGAGTTACTAGATTATATGTTTAGTTTGGAGTCTAATCTTTTGTAGAATATAAACTTTAATTGGATCTACATATATAGTTTCAGTATATTACTCCGAGTATTACAAATACAATAGAAAAAGTAACAATTACAAAGAAATATTATTAGACATGTGCAGTTACTGGGATGAGAAGGATAATTCTCAACACCTAGAGTCTTTCAGTAATGGTCCTATATAAAGATGGACAAATTTTGAATCAGACAAGCATCTAACCCGAGTAGCTGTGACTTCAATCTTTTTTTATTACAAGCTTTATTGTCTCACTTTCCAGCTTAATACTGATTAGTTGAATTTTTAAAAAAAATTAAAAAAACTAACTAAAAATTGCATTTAATCATTTAATCAATTCACAATTTTAAAAGGCCTTAGGGTTACACTATTTGAGATGCAAAAATCCAGACAACTGCTCCAGACTGCTGCAAAAAGAGTTTTCTGTATACGTTTATTGTCATTTAGTAGTCAATTTGGATTTTTATAACCTACATATGGTAGTTCTACTTTAAGATGAATTGCAAATGAGATCTCTCAGGATTTGAAACAATATGTTTTTCCCTATCCTGAAAAAGTTTCAAACTTTTAATTAGCGGTTACTATTAATTTATTTAACATGAGCTTCTACAATTAAAAAGCTTTAAGGCTGCTACAGAAATCCTAGTTATGTTGGGAATGTTAGGAACTACAGTCACAGCAGTAGTAGAGGCAACCCACCATTTAAATGTGCTTACTCTGGCATCTTAAAAGGTCTTAATAAGAAATAACCAGAATATATAATAATTCAAGCAATTCAAAACAAATAAAGTAGCAATTGCACTTAGACTTATATACCGCTTCTTAGTGCTTTACAGCCCTCTCTAAGTCAGAATATTTCCCCCAACAACCTGGGTCCTGATTTTACAGACCTCAGAAGGATGGAAGGCGGAGTCGGTGAGTTGGTGAGACTCAAACTGCTGGCAGTCAACAGAATTAAACTGCAATACTGCATTCTATTTAATAAATAATAAAACTATATACAGATATTTTCCTGTTCGAGGTAATTTTTGTATATATTTTACCATCCAAGGCTCTTAAAAGCCAAACTCTAGAGAAAATGCTGCTAGAGCTACTGAATGACCTTCATATTTTTTAAAATGAAAACAAATATATCGACCAAGTTAGAAGCAAATCAGATATCCACTTCACCAACACATATTCATAATAACATTAGGTAAATATTTCCAGATTTTAGTATCTGCATAAAATACAGACAGCATTAGCCTCCAAACAGCCTAATGCACTGAGGGAAGAGTATAACAGAAGTTAATTGGCAATCTCTCTACGAAAAAAAAAAAGTGAGCATATGAGGACAATAGCCAAACAAGATATTTAGAAGCTTCATGTTGCAAAGTAACATGGTAGTATTTCAGGGAATGAAAAGATGACTCCTTGCTATTTACATATTAGGTATATAGTAAATTAATTAGACAAAGAAGCAACACATTGTGCTGTAGTTAGAAGTAGTTCTAAAGAGGCTAAAATGCATAGTCAACTTGGTTTTCAAATCCAGAATTTATTTCTCTTAATCCAATGAGCTAATTTAAGCCTCAACTTTTGAAGACATAGAATGTACATCAATTAATCTATAGATACATCGTTTGGAAACATCTTGCATGGAAGCAATTATAACACTCCTGTAAAGTCACAGATATTTAATTTCAAAGAGCAATGGCCTTTTTATTAGAATGTACAGGTTACAATCCAATCTTTAACAATGTAAGTATTAGAATCTTAAAATTAAACAATATTAATTAGGTTTTTTTAAGGAAGGTGGCACAATCTAATAGGAATGTAAAATGGTGTAGCAAACCCCTTGGAATTGCTAGAAATACATAAACCATTAACAGTTGCCATACATTAAAATAAAATGGCGAGGCATTAACTTTATGAAATTATGATTATCTCTCTTAAGATCAATGCAATCCTCAAGAGGCAGTTCTCTGACAACATAAAATAAATAATTAATCTTGCTCCAGGATAAGAGCAACCCTTAGTTTGCACCTTCTGAGAAAAACGTAGAAGTAAATGGAAGAAAACACTAAATTCCCTAGGATATAAAATACAAGGCCGTTTCTGGTGAAGTTCCTGGGTAGACCAAGCATACTAAAAACTGCCGCAGTGTACACAGAACAACACAACGTAAACTTTTCTTTTTTGTTGCTGTTACTGGGCAATTCACAATCCTGCTAAGCTTCTAAGCTTAAAAATAGTTTAGTAAACATACAACACTGAGTTTACTTTGGCAGTTCTCTTTTTGACTCATTTATGGGATGACTTAACACTACTGAACTTGCTTCACCATTTTCTGTTACACCTCAGTAAAAGGGTTTATTTAACTTGGTTAGACAACTTTAAAAAAGGAAGGGAGAGGAGAAAGAGACTTTGAAACATGAACTACCCAAAAATGATTAAGAATTAAGCCTTAAGAACGCACTACTGATCTACAGACTTCCTGATGAGCATTGGGCTAACAATTCCATTTAAAAAGTGAATAGCCTTTGTTAAATAAACTGGCCTAGAAAAACAGTGAGATTAAGCTATATCAACCATCCTGTCCAAATTCTATCATGATCTGTCACAGTATACCACATGACAGCACATGGGGCTTAGAAAAAAAATTAATCCAAAGAAAACAAAGAAGCACTGACAATACTTTGTAAATATTAAGAAGAAAGGGTAGAAAAAGCAACCTAAAAGTTGGAAAAGGGAGGTGGGAATCATTGTGCTTTTGTTCTCCCTCTTAACCTACATATCCACACAACCCTTCTTACCTAGGAAAAAAGGCTTAATTCCTGACACCTTTATCTACGTATTTGGTAGTGCAAGAACCTGTACTAACAATCTTAGGCTTCTCTACAAATCTTGCCTCATTCGCTTTACTCTGCAATTGCAAATATGTTGGAAAAATTTTTATTGACACCAATACCTTAGCAACACAAAACACCATGGTTATCAGCAGAAAGTCAGACAATAGTATGGAAGGGTCAATTTCTTATTTGAATCCATAGCCTGGCTTTACAGTAAGAAGATTGTAGAACCCTTATCCTTCTTTTCTATCCATTTCATAGCAATAGCTAGTAATACTATTCATTGCCAGCCATTATCTGCTACCAGCATTCATTAGAACTCATTTTCTAAACAATGTTAGTGAGAATTAAAGCAAGTTTACTAGACAGCTCCAATCCCACAATGAACACAGGAGTAATAAAATGTTCTCATTGCAGGTAGAATTTCTCACAATGGTCGTTCATGATATTGAGTTGAGATATAATTTCTAGGCATCTCTAATGCTTCAGATTCTTGCTTTGAACAAGCAGGAGCACAGACATGGCTTTTAAAGCAGCTATATCTTTTTTTGTGGGGCAGCTACAAAAAAAAAGCCATGAGTCTGGAAAAGTTCCATAGTACAGTGCAATTTTAGTTAATTCCATTATAAAATGTTATGAATGTTAGATGGGAACATATTTAATGCTGAGAACCTAAGTGCTTCTTAAAAATGGAAGGCCCTTGCTGATAATCATTTTATGATTTTATCACAACACTGTTTCAGTAACCTAAAAAGTATTTGTTTTTTTACTGTTTATGAAGCATTTGTAGTTCTTCAATCAGAACTGAATCTAAGTGATAAGGTTTGGAAATTTATACATGAAATAATATTTAAGCAACCATATCAGATTTGACACAGATGTTTTTCACTTCCTAAAGATGCTTACCTGCACTTTTTTTAAAGCTACTGGCACACCATCCAACAAGCATGTAGCTCTGTAGACTTCACTAAACTGTCCACGGCCAATCTTCTTTTCTATCCGAAAATTGGCTAAAGTATTATAGCCCATGTCAGGTCGTAAGGCTTTCTGCAGTCCAAGAAACAAAAACAAACAATTAAATAAACTTTCTTTTATTTCCAGTGGAGCCAGGTGTTCTGAATATTAACCCCAGAAAAATAAATGTGGGAGGAGATAATATATTTAATTTTAAAAATGAATTCTAAGTGTCAGTAATTTCCCACTTAAAGATCTACAATTCCCGCTATCTTTTTAAAACTGACAAACATGTCTGTGTTAACAATGAAAGGTTTGATATTTGCAACAGACTTCCCAGTTCAATTGAAGAAACTAGCTTTGGTCTTTAAAGTCCTAAGAGCCCAGGATTATGGTTCTGAACAGGGAAGCAGGGAAAGGGAGTACAAGTTCCAAATCAATCATGGAGTTCACTGGATAACCTCAAGTCAGTCTCTTTCAGCCCATTTATGTTACAAGGCTGCTCAAGTATTTGGTAAAAATGTTAGCCAATACAATAAGGTGCCATATGAAGTAGTAAGTTCTCATTAATTAGAGGTCTTTAAACCAAAGCTATGACATCATGTTTAAAAACTGTTCTAGTGGTTCCTGCACTAAGCAAGGGATTTGATTAGATGCCTCTCAAGTCTTTTCCAACTTTATGATTTGATGAAAATGTATCTTGCTACACATTACACTTAAGGACAACTTAAGGACAACATTAAAGGTGCCTCTTGATCTTTTCAGTTACCATTCTTTGCTATTTATCATGTTGGGTGGGCTATTGCTATTTGCCATGTTGGGTGGGCTTAGTGGAAACTGAACTCCTAAATATCTGAGGATGCCAGACATGTGCCTGGTATACTTGGTCTGTTGTGTGGATGTTTGGATGGTTTAGGGGTGAGGAATTTGTGGTGGGTGGGTGGGTGTTTGGGGATTGTTATGTGTGTTGACCTGCTCTTTGGGTGTTAAGTGAATTTAGTTGTATGGGTATTCTGTGTATATACGTACAATGACAATAAAGTTGTTGTTGTTGTTATTATTATTGTGTGTGAACAGTATACACACACGTGCAAATTGAGAGGAACACATATATGTATGTTCATCTATCGGTCAATTTAATATTGTTCATATAGGTCTTACATTCAGAAGACAAGTTTCCTTTGGCCTACAGCAGATGAAGAAGAAAATATGAAGGAGACATAAAACTCAGCATAATGTTTCATTACTCGAGAGAAAAACTAAAACTTTAACTGATTACTGATACAAATATATGGAAGAATATGTACTGAACCAAAATCAAAACCTGTGTGAAAACATTACAAAAGAGATCAATTTAGTAATCCTTACTGTACTGCTTTAAACAAAATCAAGAAGATAAGCACAATATTAGAATCTACAGTTTTCCTCCACTTCCATTCTTGATGTTCTTTTACAATTTACTATTTAAACAAACATTTGATTAATACACAGCTGATATTTTATATATACAAGGCAGGATATAGGTCCAGACTGTACTCTGTTCTGTTATACTGTATAATGTTTGTACATTGAAGTTTTACAGATTTCTCCACTAAATACAATAGGCCAAGTTGAAATAACAACAACAAAGATCTGGAGGAGAACAACAACTTTCTCATTTCTAGAGTTTATATTGATTTTCCCAAAAAAAAAAGTGTACCAATTCAAAATGATTTGGGAACAAAAATACTCCTTTTAAAATTTCAACGGCTTTTGACTCATTGGTTACTCAGGCCCACAATCAAAAATATTCATCAGATGAAGCAGAGTCCAAACATGGAGCTGCTTTGATAGGAATAGCAGTGTACCAATTCAGGGAAAAATATATTCCAAGTGCCTATGCAGGTTTAATGAGTTCAGCCTTAGCAGTTAGAGAAAAACATTCAAAGTTGGGGAGCTCTCTCTTATTATTCAAATGCTTGGGCTACAGAGGAACGGGATGTAGCTTCATTAAGTTTGGAGTATTTCTGTGGTTGTTTAACCAGCATATATTTCAAAATTGGAATAGCGAATTGCATCCTCTGTCTGCACAGCAACTTGACAAACATTAGCATGAACTACTAAGGCAGTGTGACAGCCGCATGCTGAGAGCAAAGTCTCCCTAATGTGTTTTGGCATGCAGGTTTGTAATCACACATTTACATATGCAATGACCTACATTTGCATGTCAGATCACACACTGTCTGGCTTTATTAAGACCGGGCACCTCTCTGTGTTTGGCGGCCAGAGTGGCGAGAGAGGGCCAGAGGGTGGTGGGTTTTTTTGGCAGTTGAGAGATGAACTGCCACTGAGAATTAGACTGAGATAGCCTGAGCATTAGACACTTCATTAGAGGTAATCTGTTTAACAGTGGGCACTGTATGTAAACTTCACAGCCCATTTGCAGCATCTTCTCTGCCCACCCAACCCCAGTGGTCTTCCTTCAAAGGGCAATGTGGCTGACTGACAGCTTGTCTCATCTGCTCCCTTGTTCTGTCATACAATTCAGACACAGAGACCTGACACGAGAAGCAACATAGCTGCACATCTCCAACTATATAGCGGGACTCCCTCCCAGACATAAAGGAATTTGGAAAAGGAATAAACTCATGGATAATAATAGGGCCATCAGTTGGTCAGAGAACATATTATATAGCAATGATTAGACTGCATTACAACCAGGCATATTTTTTTAAAATGGCAGTATGTTCTATAGTATCTAACAAGGGGATTTTGATTTTTTTTCCAAATAAAGCAGAAATTCATACACTAAACTAAAATGACCTATTTTAACTCATTCCGGTGTTCAAAATAAATCCATAGTTTGTGAGATGAGAGTTACAAGAACAGACTCTCATTCTCTTTGCCTCTTTTGACATCAATTCTTCCCTTCTTTCCTTTGTCAGAATACAGTATGATTTCCCTGGCATGGCATACTAAGTCCATAAAAGAGACGAAAATGTGCAAAATCCAAAGTGTAATCAAACAAGCACCCACCGCATAACAAGAAGCACATATTTTCACACTATACTTATAGGGAGGAAAACATAACCACTATGTAAAATGCATTTTCAGCCCAAATTCGATTACTTTGTTGAATTTGGTGCCTGTCAACAGCCTTTCCACTCCTTACTAAAGAACTGCAGCTATAGATCAGGTTTAAACATTTTAATTAAATGGCTGCATTCCACCACAATGGAGGTCCATTCTTCCAACAATAGCAGGGCCAAACACTTTTATAAATCCTTGAAAATGATGCTTGCAAAAGTGAAAGAGAAGCACATTCTTGCTAATGATTTCCAAAATCCAAAAGGCAACTTTGCTTTGTTAACTATTACTTTCAATTATTTATAACTGCACTATTTTGTACTGACTTAACGTTCTGTGGACCTAACATAGTACATTTTCTCTTCTAGGACAATAGAAAAGAGTTTCCCTTGGGACTAGGAAAAAACGCTGAAGGGATACCAGTTATATTAGCACATTATCTAAAAATCACCTTGCACACTGCCTTTCTCCTCATTACACTATTTTTGCTGCTCTGATTCTTTATATTCCGGAGTCTTTATTTTTATCTCTGGTATTATTCAAGCACGATAGAAGTCTTTTTTTCAGTCAGCTTAGGTGCCAACATCTGTCTGACGCAAACCCTGTCACAGATCAGAGAGCAAGGACAGTCTTCAAATTTATGATTTAACGTTCTGCTCTGCAGCAAAAGCCACAAGGCCACATCATCCCTTGCAGATGTTTAATCACACTCTCCCCCTCCAGAGATTATGATTGCAACTATATATTAAGATAGTTTTTCTTTCATTGCATTTATCTTCATCAGTCCTGAAGCACTTTAAAGAACTGTCCCGCTCAAAACAGAAGGCATACTCTTGAAGCTTAGATTGTTAAAAAATAAAATTTCTATGTCACTTTCAATATGAGGGGTGGAGGGTGGGGTGCTGGCAGAAATACTCATTTGCAAGCACAACCTGAAGGTACAAATGTTTTTGTTACATTACGTTCAGCAACTTCAACCCATTTGCACATTTCTATTCTTCTCAAAATACAATAATCCCGAAGGTTTGAAGCAATTCTGGAGCCTGGCTGAATACTAACATGAGAACATATCACTAGAAACCAAAATACCTTCGAAAAAAATATACATTTTATTGCAAGTAAGAAAATATATTCCTATCCACTTTAGCAGATAGGCAATAGGTTCAGCTATAGGAATAGGTTGAAGGATTTGTCCTAAAAAAAAAATCTGAAAAAGAGAGGATAGACATAGAATAAGATTGGGTTATACAAATTGTGATTTAAGGTTTTTCCTTGGAAACACCATTGTGGCAAAAATCCCTTTTCTCCATAACCTGGTTCTTCCAGGGATAAACAGTTACCCCGTTTCCCCAAAAATAAGACATCCCCTGATAATAAGCCCAATCGGGTTTCTGAGCACATGTGCTAAAATAACACACACACACCCGAAAATAAGCCCTCCCTGAAAATATTTAACCACATGCGCAATCGATCCCTGCCATTTCCTCTGGTTAGGGTTAGTGAGACAGAGCTGGAAATCAGGTAAGACGGCAAGAGGAGCCCAGTCTTGCTTCATGCACCCCAAAATAATAAGACCTCCCTGAAAATAAGGCCAAGTGCTTATTTTGGGGTTCAAAAAAATATAAGACATGGTCTTATTTTCGAGGAAACATGGTAGCTTTACAGATTGAGCTGAAAAATCATCAATCTCCAGCTGGGTAATCTTACTACAATTTCTCAACTTAATTCAGTAGTATATTCACAGGCAATCCTCAGCTAGATGAGAATCTTCACTGCAGACAAGACTGAATTCTTACCAACAGATAGAAAGCTCACTGTAATATAAAGGACTTGGTATTTTCTCAACAGGCATTTTCCTACTGCCCTTCCAAATAAACTTAAAGTTAATTTAAAAGATCTGTATGGCCACCCAATCTTAGAACACAAATCTGGGCAGCTCACAACAACAATGTATTTGTCATCTCCCTTAATGGCCTTGAACAACTCTGATGTATTTGCAGAAAGCTCCTCTCTTGCATGAGAACCATCAATTCCCACCTCATGAGCTCAGATCTTACATTATGGACATTTTTGCTGGAGCGGCAGTATAGATAAACTCACTACATCCAAAGAAATTAATTGCAATTGCACACTTAAGTTTTCATCCAAAATAAAAAAATAAAAGAATATAGCATCAGAGATTTAATTTTAAGGCAAGGAAATACTTCTTGAAAATGTAAAATTTGTGTAATTTCTGTTAAGGTGATTGTTAGTTTCAGGAGAATTATTTAACTTTCGCTTCAAAAAATAGAATATATCGAAAGTTATATTTTTACTATGATCAATTTTAGTTATATAATCCTTGCAGTGATCTCTGTATTGGATGAATTACAATTTTGATATAAGGCTTCAATTTTGCAGTGCTCTTTTCTTTCCTTTCTTCTTTCCTTTTATTTATTTTTTTTGACAGTGTTCTTCATTACCCCATTTCAGCCCTGTCCATTTTCCCCCATTCATGTTTCCACTGGTTTCAGAAAAGGGAATCAGAATCAGATTCTGGAATAGATAATAACATTGCATTCAAAACACCTTTCAGTCTATACGATAACAGTTCTTTTAATATTAATGTACTCCTGACTGACTGCTTGTACTAGATTATCTAGATTATTTTACCTGTGGTTGAAACTGAGACACAGGAGGACCTGGCAGACCCTGTGATTGTTCATCCATTATTTCAAATCACAATCCTTTTGAATGACCTGCATTAAAACAGGATACAATGAAAACAGATGTTTACTTGCATTTTTATGAAACACTTTACAGGGTTAACATGAGCAAAGGATTACAATCAGAGTACTGATAAAAGAGGAAACCACAGAAAAAATAGTGAAGTCAATGTGTCAATGTGTTTACATACAGAGAGAGCAAGTTCAGTCAGCCAAAGAAACATCAAGTGATCTTTTGTATGTAACCTTTAGTCCAAGCTTGTATTTAAATATCTGTGCCCTTTTCTTTCTTTTCTTTTCATTTCATTTTCTACAGATGAAAGCTGGTGGCTCACAATTTCATCTATATAATCTTTTTGGAACTACAGAGACATCTGCAAGATCCAAAGCATTCATCACAATGATTAAACCAACATTGTGCTATACATGCAATATTATAACATACATACAGTGCATTCAGAAAGTATTCAGACCCTCCTCACTTTGTCAATTTTGTTATGCAATACTTGGCATAAGTAGTCAGACCCTTCATTCAATACTTTGTTGAAGCACCTCTGGCAGCAATTACAGCCTTGAGTCTTTTGGGGTATGACGTGACAAGCTTTGCACACTTGGATTGGAGGATTTTCTGCCATTCTTCCTTGCAAATCCTCACAAGCGCAGTCAGGTTGGATGGCGACTGTCAGTGGACAGCCATTTTCAGGTCCCTCCAGAGATGTTCAATAGGGTTCAAGTTAGGGGTCTGGCTGGGCCACTCTAGGACATTCACACAGTTGTTCCTAAACCACTCCAGTGTTGTCTTGGTTGTGTGCATAGGATCCTTGTCATGTTGGAAAATGAACCTTCAGCCCAGGCTGGGGTCCTGAGCGCTATAAACAGGTTTTCACTGAAAATATCCCTGTACTTTGCTCCATTCAGCTTTCCCTCAACCTGACCAGTCTCCCAGTCCCTGCTGCTGAAAAACACCTCCACAGCATGATCCTGCCACTACCATGCTTCACTGCTGGGATGATATTGGGCAGGTGATAAGCGGTGCCTGGTTTCCTCCAGACATAATTTTTAAAAGTGAGGCCAAACAGTTCAATCTTGATTTCATCAGACCAGAGAATCTTATTCTTCACAGTCTGAGAGTCCTTCAGGTGCTTTTTTGCAAACTCCAAGCGGGCTTTTGTGTGTTTTGCACTGAGGAGAGGCTTCCATCTAGCCACTCTGCCATGAAGCCCAGATCAATGGAGGGCTGCAGTGATGGTTGTCCTTCTGGAACTCTGTCCCATCTCCACACAGGATCTCTGGAACTCAGTCAGAGTGACTATCAGGTTCTTGGTCACCTCTTTTACTAAAGCCCTTCTCTCCTGATTACTCCGTTTGACTGGGCGACCAGCTTTTGGAAGAGTCCTGGTTGAGGCAAATTTCTTCCATTTGAGAATTATGGAGGCCACTATGCTCTTAGGAAGCTTCAGTGCAGTAGAAATTTTATTGTTGCGTTCCCCATATCTGTGCCTTGGAATAATCCTGTCTCTGAGCTCTGCAGGCAGTTCCTTTAACCTCATGGTTTTTGCTCTGCTACACTATGCAATGCATTGTTAGCTGTGAGGCCTTCTATAGAGAGGTGTGTGTCTTTCCAAATCATGTCCAATCAATGTAATTTGCCACAGGTTGACTCCAATCAAAGTGTAGAAACATGTCAGCAACTATCAAGAGAAAAATGGGAAGCACCTGAGCTAAATTTCAAATGTTGTTGCAAAGGTTCTGAATACTTATGCCAATGTGATATTTCCGGTTTTTTTCTTTTTAATAAATTTACAGACGTTTCTAAAATTCTGTTTTTACTTTGTCATTATGGGGTATTAAGTGTAGATTAATGAGACAAAAAGTTCCAGAGACCATTTTTATTGCTAGAGAAGCCCTGTAAACATACTAGATATAAGAGTTCAAGTCTATTCATTCTCATTCATAAATAAATGAGATCTTCTCAAAAGTAAGCAGACGTGTAATTCTGCTTAACAAACTTTGAGGTAAATCCAGTGTAATCTGTAAACCTTCTCATGTAAATCCCAGAAGGGTGAGTTAGTCCTGCCAATGATGCACTTCTAAATAAGTGTACGTAGGATTGTAGATTTGGATGGAATTTTTCCTGAGACATGTGACTATAAAATAATAAAAGGTTAAGTATATATACAGATTTGCCCAGATTTAAATCATGTGGATGGGTTCCCAGAGGAGCAGGATTTCTTCAGTTTCTCCTACTTCCAGAACCCCCAAAGGCATTAAACATTTAGATCAGCTTGACAGTTGGTCCAAATATATTTCTTCCCATTGGAAGCAGTAAGAGGAAATATTTTTCCCAAATAAGAAAAAAGGCAGTGACAATGTTTTTATCCTGCCAGTCTTGTTACCAAATGGGCATCTGAAGCTTTTGGAGAAGGATTTGAGAGTTCTGTTCAAACAATAAGAACATTCTGCCACTAGCAGCATGAAATGACAATTTTTAAAAGGCACATTTTAAAAACCATAAAGATAATTCCTTATTATCCATTTGTTCAAGAAGAAGCTAAGATTGAATGTCAGCATTGAGTAAAATGAAAAAAATGAGTGCATTTTACTAGCTATGATTTTTTTTCCTCAATAGTATTAGCTCAGGTCATAAAGATCTGAAGTAACTTTAAATGTGAAAACACTACAGAGGATATAAGACATAAAAACATGTTGCAAAGAATGGTAACAACAGAAACACATTTCTACAGTTCCTTGTTAAAGCCAAGCCAGAAATCCAAATATATTGGACGCAGAAACACTGAACAAGTCTATCCAACAGAACAATATCACATAGCAGAATTACTGACATAATAGTTGCACTTTTAAGACTGAAAGCTTCTTTTTAAGGTGTTCTAAATAATGTAAGTTAAACTACAGTACAAATAATCTTTCCTAGACATTTTTTCAGCAACATCTCTATTTGTACCTTTTAATTCTTAAACTAGCTAGTTCTCCCCAAGCCTTTGCACTGTGCTTGAAACGTTACCAGAAAACTGTTCCACAGTAATTTCCTTCTGCTTTTAATCTCAAAATAATTGTCTCAAAATAATTGTAACTGATGCAAACAGCACACATCTTAATAATAACCTCTACACTTAAAACCAGTGTCCGTGTCAGAGAGAGGGGGGAGGGGGGAGGGAGATGGAGAGAGGATGGAAATATGAATCCTGGGGTTTCTTAGAAAAGTTAAATACTATGATCCATAGCATTTTCCTTGAAGACACTATCCATCTTCCCTCCACTATGTTCAATACAGGTGCTTTAAAAAGAACAGTTCATTTTCATTGATTTAGACCAATGTATATTCTGGAGAGAGAGAAAGGGGTCTTGCTTGAACTTGATGTGCTGAAAAAGCAACTCTTAGAACACATTTCAGAATGTTCTACAATCTAAAATAATTCCATTATTAATATGGACTTTTAGAGGCAGAGAAATTTTATAAAAATATATACACCAAACAGAAATTAAAAATACATTATATTCCATCCAAATTTAAAAAGAAAAAACTATTAATGCCTCCACAAAACATACCAATCAGGTCCAGAAACTTCTAATAGACATAATGATGGTAAAAACATCAGCATTAATTCTAGAGATTTCCCAATTCTGGTAAGTAGCATATAACTGTCATATGAGAGCATCCTGGACAGTTGTAATTAGAGGGGAGATCAATTCTGCCCTCCAAAAATGATAGATATGGTATTTCAGAAGCAGGTGTGCTACTGTCTCAATTTCAAAGTCTGAGCAGACACCAATGCTCTTCATATGGAATACTATTTTTTCTTTCTGTCAGGACTACCAGAGTTAAGAGCATCCAAATGTGATAATATAAAGGTCTTTCTGTGAGACAAAACCAATAAATGATACAGATAATGGGGGATTGTAAAATGGGACTCTGTTAACATTGTAGCAGAAGTGAAAAATGTTTTTTTTTTTTTTTTTTGGTAAAACAAAATCTAAAATTCTCTGCTTGACTTCTTTCCAGGTTTCAACCAGGCATAGAATGGAGGGGGGGTGGAGGGCCGAGGAAGCAAGTCTACTACAGTGAACCATGCCATCCATTATTTGTTTCTTCCAACAAGACTGGTATCTGTCAGGACTTGTTGGGGTACTAATTCATCTCCCAAAAATTTATTTAAACTAATACTTCAATTAGCTCAGACAAGAGAAAGGCACAAATTGGGTAAACTCTACAGTGTTAACGAGCCAGAAGTCAACCAAATACTGGCCTCTTTTCTTACTTGCTCTAAACAGAAGCAGTTTCAGGCAATGCTAGTGCACTTCTCCAACCATTTACAAGGACATAATATCTCAATCCAAACTGAATAAAATATATAGGTATTTGTAAGGGGAGGAAGAGATGAGTAGCAGCTTCTGCTAAATAGCCTGAAAACTTAATCCTCCCTTGAAAATGCCTTTAGAAGTAAAGATTTCTCCAAAGGTAGTTCAACTGGTTTACACACACTTTTCAACTTAATACTCCAGGAAATTTGATCACGAATGTCATCTCCTTTTAATTCCTTTAGTAAAAGGGCCTGAGAATTTTGTAAGAGGCCTAACTAACAACTGGAAGTTTTCTCCTCCTCCTCCTCCTGTCTCCCCCACACCCTATTTTTGACCAAACACAAACTATTTTGGATTCGTTGGCAAGTCTCCACAAGATACAATGTGTATTTTGTTTTTCAGTGCAAGGCTTTTCAAAACTGCATAGAGCTCAGAAGTCAAATTCCCACGGACCTCAGCGGGATTCGTTCCTGGATAAAACGAATCTAGGCTTGCAAAATCTGGCACCATATTCATCGTGGGGGTGGGGGTGGGGGGGATAAGATATCTCTGCTAGCCTCAGCCTGATAAGGCTGGGTTCAATACCTAAATCGTTCTGCGGCCCTAAGGCTTTGCCTTAAAACCAGGATGGGGAGCAAGAACCTTGGTGACGCAGCAGACTAAAGTGCTGTTAAGTAGCACCAGCTGCCTGCAATTACTGCAAGTTCAAATCTCACCGGGCTCAAGGTTGACTCAGCCTTCCACCCTTTCGAGGTAGGTAAAATGAGGACCCGGTTTGTGGGGGCAAAAAGCTGACTTTGTATAAAAAAGAACACCGCTTAAGGGGGGGGCCGAAAGCCCTACTAAGCAGGTATATACAAAAGTATGAAGGCTATTGCTTAAGCCCTGAGTCTCCGGAGAAGGGCGGCATATAAATCGAACCAATAAAATAAATAAATTCGGGCTGGGATGCATCCCCACTAAGAAACTCCGCTTCCAGCAAGTGAGTCGCAGATGCGCCTCCAGCAAATTTGTGGAGGATACCCCCGTCCCGTGCTTTCCTAACCACTTTACTTACTAGCTACTTACTACTTAATAATAATTCTTACTAATCGGCTGCCCGTTCTTGTTTTCTTGCAAAAGCCAAAACCAAGCCCAGCCCGGCACTCTTTTTCGCTTTTCAAGCTACCGTCCCAGCCGGCTGCAGTCTCGCAGGAAGTCCTTTCTGAAAAGAGCTGCCGATTGGCAACACTAGGGGCTTGGAAGAAGGAAGAGAGAAAGGCAAGGAGAGTCGCTTCCCCCCAACCACCCACCCTTCTTTCCAGCCAGAAAGAAAACGAGCCCACAGACCCACCCACCCACCCCTCCCGCCGGCCACCACGTGAGCCAGGAAAGCCGGGCCACCGTCTCAGAAAACAGCAAGCCAGGACAACGACTACCTACCGCCCGAAGAGCGGCGAAGGGCGGCCAGCTGGGACGAGTCGCGGAGGGAGGAGTCGGGGAGGCTCAGCAAGAGCGCACGCGCCACGGGATGCCCGGGACTCGCGCGCTGGGTCGGCCCGGAGTGGCGTTTGGGGAGGGGCAACGTGGGGTGCGGGGTGGGGAGCTAAAAATTCCCCGGTCCCGGGTTGGCAGCTACGGAAGCAGAAGCGTTTCGAGGCCCGGAAAGTTCTTCGTGTGAAGAACTGAACTTTGGTTTTTTCCTCTGAAAGAGAGGCGGTCATAGATTGTAGCCGCCCGGCCCTGAGCTTTTTTTTTAATTTTATTTTCCCCCGGATATCTCCTCTTAAGGGACGGCCGTTGATTTTCTTTTCGGAGCCTAAAATGTGTAGGAGTCGTTACGTAATTCGGAATTTCTCGCGAATGGAGTTTCGCTAAAATGATTGAATTTGGAAGCTTTCACCGAGCGGGAATTTGGGCTGGATGACCTAATATGACCTCTTCCAGTTTTTGTTTGTATACAAATGAAAATTGGAAAAGTCTTCAGTGAAACCTGGACCTTCAACAATTCCGATTCACATTTAGATTGATAGCAAGGGACGGCCTAAGCACACAGCCCTTTGCAAACATATCATTTGTATATTGTTTACACAGAATTTTGCTCATTGACACTCCTGTTAGGTATCAAGTGTCGCTTACATAAGTTTCATTCTAACTAAAATCCTTATCTACAGCATATCAGCCTGGTAAAAAGGTTTAAAGGATTTCTAAGCACGGTGACAACTACTTCCTTATGATTTGTAAATTTTACATCTTAAATTTGTTTTGCTTCAGAAATGTTATTGGCTTTCTTAATACAATGTGTAAGGGACAGAAAGGTACCACAGCTGCCCCTAACTCTTTTATTTCTCTGTTGGTATACTTACGTATCTTTGCTTAAAAGGTAAATGAAGCCGTTCTTAACTGAAGATCAATCTCAGGATAAAGGAGGTGTCCTTTCTGTCTTACTTTCTTGAAGCATCATCTTTCAACAATCCTGTAGTGGGATTTATCAAAGGATGTCATTTCTGCAGCCTTTGACCCCATATCCTTCCTACTAACATATAGATCAACTTAATATGCTTTCTATGATTTGTGTAGCAAGTACGTGTAACATCTTGCATAAGCAGTGCTGACTACTGTTTATGCAAATGTGTATTATTGGAAGCTTTACCCAAATACCGTGTGGCAATGGAAATGTGAGGGGTGCTGTACATCAAACAGAATACTTGGGACCCCTGAAGTAGATAAATGGCTTGCAAACTTCCTTTTGCAACATTCTGGAGACTGCTTACCCACATTCACTGGAAGCCTTGTCCCAGTACTTTGTAATATGGGTATTGGGAACTCTTTACGTACATCTGCATTATTATAACTTTATTTCTCCAGGTTCTAAATAGTAAAGGGGTATACTGAACTCTGAAGTACAGTATTGGATAGTTAGATCCTACCCTGTTCCTTCCAGCTCTCTACCCATATGGGCACTAACTCCAGCAACCTTTGGGGCGTGGCAAAGGGGCAGAACAAATTGCTACATCCCTATGGATCCAACATCTAGTTAAGCAACATTATTTGGCCTCAACTGTTAGAGCGTTTGATTTACATTCATACAAATACATAACATCTCTTTCCTCTTCAAACTTTTGTGAAACACCTTGTGTGATGAGTTCAAGGATACAAAATGACCTAGAAAAGCACCTCTGTTTCTATGTCTGTTGGAGGACTTCAAATACTTTTGAAAACTTAGAGAAGTTTTTCAATGAAATCTGAAAAGTTTCCCAAACCCCTTAATAAAATTTTATAGATAGTCCTTGGCTTACAACTACAATTGAGTCCAAAATTTTTGTTGCTAAGTGAAACATTTGTTAAGTGAGTTTTGCCCCCATTTTATGACCTTTCCTGCCCCAGTTATTAAGTGAATCACTGCAGTTAAATTAGTAAGAGTCATTAAGTGAATCTGGCTTCCCCACTGAGAAGGTTGCCAAAGGTGATCACATGACTCTGGGACACTGCAACCATCATAAATATGAGTCAGTTGCCAAGGGTCTGAATTCTGATCGCACTTGGGGATTGTTGCAACTATCACTGTGGGAATGCTGAAACGGTCATAAGTGTGAAAAATGGTCATAAGTCACTTTTTTCAGTGTCATAACTTTGAATGGTCACTAAATGAACTGTTGTAAGTTGAGAACCACCCAGAAAGATGGCTGCTTCCTTGCTGAAAATCACATTGTTTGATCAAAGAGAGTGGTAAGGACAGCTGAGAAGATTATAAGAAGCTCATTTCCTGTTATTCAGGATACTGCTTATAAGTGCTATGTGCTTAGACCTCAAAGCATTGTTAGAGACCCCACACACCCATTTCACGGTCTGTTTCAGTTGTTCCCCCTGGGAGGAGGTTTTGAAGCATTTATAGCAGGTTACTAGATTCTGTAACAGCTTTGTTCCTTATGCCATTCGTCTTGTAAACTTGCAGATTTCTTTTTTTTTCCCACCATGTACATTATACACCGTGTACAGTCATATATGTGTGTATATGTGAATATATGCATAATGGTTACCTTTTGAGAGCTGAATGCAACAAAATTTCATTTAAATGTATGCTGTTTAATGCCCATTTAAAGTGACATTAAATAATGTCCCCTTGCACTGTAAACTGCTCCCATTTCATATGTATGCAAGCATCATTCTATCTACACTGCTTTGGTATTCTGCCCCTCCCTTGCCTGCCTCTCCCATAGATACTGCTGGCCTTAAGATGCTTAGTCATTACAAGAAACAAAATGCTGAACTAAGGTGACCCTTGACTTGATCCAGCAAGGCTATTATTATGTACTTATTTCTGGACTCATCACTGTCATCTCAGTGACTGTGAGTGTTTATATACCAGTTTAGACTGAAACACCAGCCACAACTCCACCTGGAGAGAGACATCCTTGCAAAACACTCCAATGACTTCTAACTGGATTATGCTGAACTGGTATTGTGACTGCAAATGGTTTCAAAAACCTCAATTACTTCAAAACAAAGCAGATGAATTACTAGCTGGGTCGGCCAGTGCAATCAAATGCCACTGCATTGCAGCCCACCAGTTTCCACTAAATTTCCAGGGCCTGTCCAAAGTACTTGTACTTAAAAGATTTAAGTGGCTTAGGATCAGATTACTTAAAAGGGCATTTCCTTTCACCTGTTTCTATTTGGACAGTGAGATTTTTGTCACTTCTCCAGGTTCCCTACACAGGAGTTTTAAATCTTTTTGTGCCATGACTGTCTTTGTGAGTCTGGCGGAATCTATAAGCCCCTTCTTATAAATACATATTTAAATGCATAAAATACATGGATACATATATATTACAAAGGAAACTAATAATGTTCAAGTGCAGTTATCAAACATTAAAAATTACCCATGTGTAATATTGTAATATATATGCTTTATTCATGCATTAAATCAATAACAAGGCAAGCTAAATTTCTGCTAGAGCTTAGTGAAAATAAAGTTATAATTTTTTCCCCCATCCAAATGCATAAACCCCTTGAAATCTATCTAGAGTAAGGATCTCTGCCCTAGAGAATGTGATAGTGACGAAAGAACATCTTTAATAGTGAGGCCCTATTTCAAAAGTTCACCTGCCTGCATTATGAACTTTTTGTCAGCAGGCAAAATACCTTTCTATTTCTGCAATTCGTTTTACTGTAGTGATTGCTAGTTTGAGTGAGCTCTATCTCCTGTTATGTAACTGTTGTTATTACTGAGGATCTTATTGCTTTGCCTAAGGCTGCTGGTTTATTGTTTATAACATTTTAATATTGCAATTCTGATTATATGAACCAAATGTCCTTTAAACTATAACAAAATAAACAGTCAATAAATGCACACATTCTATAGGTTATTTTATTATATTGTTGGAAGAGATATCCATCTGGGTTCAGTTCCAAGTGGGGAAAAAGACACTGGAAACATGGAGACTACTTGGAAATATGGTTTAATGGTGGACAAGATCACATGGTTTGAGTTCCTGAACAGAAAACGGCAGAGATGCTGAGCGTACCTTGGTTTTATGCCCTCTCTAAGCTTTGAACTTCCTGGGGCACAGGAAGAGTATCCTGATTGGTTGTCAGACTCCCAGGGGGTGGGGGTCTTAGCTAGCCTTGCTGGCTGATGTAATCTTCCCAGGTGCCATGTGGTGAGTTTCTGTTGCTAGATGGGTCCTATTGTGTTGCAGATGATGGTCCATTGACAAAGGTGGGAGGAGGCAGAAAGCTGCTTTGTCTTTAAAAAATGTTTCTCCATTTCTCATCCAGGGAAACATAATATTCTTCCCCTTTCAATATTTCCTAAAATATTTCATTCTTCTAGGAGAGCGGTGGGTGCTAACTTTCTACAATATCTTAATACGTATGTGCTTTGCTCAAAGGGTTATTGGTAATAACTAGTTTACATATATAATTAATATAATATAATTAATATTATATTATACAATAGAATACTATACAATACAACACAACACAACACAACACAATACAATACAATACAATACAATACAATACAATACAATCAATACAATAGACATTCCAAGTGGATACAGAACATGAAACTGGTGGACAGCCCCTTTTGAACTTTACAGTTACAGTCATTTATGTTAAATCACAGCAAATGTCAATGAAAGAGTTTTATCTAACTTTTACTATAAAATACTTGTGAGTAATTTATAGCCGTTACATAATTTTTTCTCTACAGTAGTTTTACATAGTAAGAAATCACAGTG